AGGGCCAAACGCCTCTCCTTGCCCACGTTTTACTTACTGATGCTTTATTTCAAAATGTTTTAGGTCGTTGCAAATTCATGAAAATTCTCATGATTTTCATGTGTACTAGTAAGGAAAAATACTTGAAAATCAAACGATCGCGTTTTTCACCCTAAAAATGACGATTTTTTCTATAGTATATATCGAATCAAATTGATTGTAAAGATGAAACGCAACACTTGAAGCTGTTTATATGAAACTTTTATTTGCTAAATCTTGACATATTCACAGAAAACGTGTTTTCATATTTTTGAAAATTGCTCATTATTTTCGGTCTGAAAGCTGCATGTAATCAGCACCATTCGATGCGGCTTTTTTAGTTTTCTAAAGATGTATTATATCGTTGGATGTGACAACGAGAGTTTTCATAGTTAAATTGGCAAAAACGTTCAAAGGATATCAAATCAAGTCAAGTTTGAAGACGAAAATACCCACTGCACAATTGCAAATTAAACTGCAGCAGTTACGGCTACCACGACGGCAGAATACTGGGACCAAATCTACTGGCCGTGACGTCGAACAGGGCGCTCTCTCATTTTTCCATATCCTCCTTTTTTTTATTCTTTTTGCAAAACGCGTTTAATATCAAACTACATTGGTTTTGGAACCCTTTTGATTGAAAATAACACTCTAGCTTCTGATAACACGGCCTTGTATTGTTAAAAGCACTTGATACTGCTTCTTTTAAGTGGAATATAGCAGGTACCGTTCGACAACGAGCACAGAAAGACGTAGAACAAGCACTAATCGAATTTGTTTATTAGGTTTCGTTTTTTTCTTACCTGTTTGTCATGGACGCTGCTACCATTACTTCTTTGCTATCTCTGCTGTTTGCTTCTATGGTTTATTATGTCTGGTAACTGCTTCTTTGGTCTTCATCTCTGGTAGTTGCTTTGTTAGTCTTTGTCTGGTCTCTGGTGTCACTCGTTCTTCGGGTTTTCTACGCTGCTGGTATTACTGTTGCTGTTGGTATTGCTGCTGTTGTTGTTGTTGATGTTGTTGATAATCTGGTGTTTCCTGGTTCTACTGTCTTCACTGTATGCTAGTTCTCTGGTCTATCTCTGGTGATTGCCTATACTCTTCTGGTCCATCCGTGGCTGTGATAGGTTTAGTAAGCAATTTCTTTGGTCTTTAACTAGTCTCTGTTGGTGGCGTTCGTTTTTTGGTTTCTCTATGGTGCCGGTGTTGTTGCTGCTGTTGCTGCTGCTAATATGGTCTTTCCTGGTCTACTGTCTTTGGTGCATGCTCGTTCTCTAGTTTATCTCTAGCTGTGGTAAGTGGTAAGTATCTTCTTTCTTCTGGTCGCAATGATATAAACCTTCTTTGAACGTTTATATTGTTACTTCCTTTCTCGCGATAATGCATTCATGATGTTTGCCTTGTTGCGCTTTTTTTCTTTTTCTTTTCTTTTCTTTTGTTGGTAGTGTTTCCTCTGTGGCTTCACACGAAACAACCTTAGTCATTATGTTGTATTGCAAACTTATAATACCACTGTTGCTTTTTCAGTTGTGTATATTTGTGCCATGTTGCTTTACATCCGACTATTACTACCATGGACGTTGCTCATGTATGCATTTTTATTGCAACAATAACAACGAGCTTCTTTGAACATCTTTGTTGTTGTGTTTGTTGTGCTTTTCTTTGACTCGCTTCGTGTGAGCGCCTTTCTTTTTTTTTTGCCTACATACTACTATACTCTTATAGTATTATGTTCATTTGTTCCTTTGATTATGTTTCTTTGAAGCATACCTTTTTTACGTTGTGTGGATGTGCCTATCCCTGAAGCTCAACAAGACTTTATCCGAGGCTAGGAGGTAGATAGGCCGCCTCCACTTGGTTATCATTACTTACTTTAGTGATGATTGAGAGTCTCAACGCCAGAATCTAAAGCTAGGTGGTGTAAGTAAGGCATGCTCTAGCACCTGGGGGAAATTTGATGATAGTGACAGCTATATTGCTACTATAGCGGCGCTTAAAATTTTGCCTCACATCAAAACAGGGGGAAACCCTCGCAAAATTTTTTTTAGGTCAGCGGAGTTTTCAAGCAATCTGATTGGTTGAGGGATCGAAGCAGCGAGGGTCTACAACTGGTTGGTTTCCTATTGATCTGTCTAACGTTATTTTGTCTTTTATAATAATAAAACCTTAATCAAATGGAAATAGAAGTATAGTAGCACACCTTTAATGTTCTTCAGAATGGACACTGTTTATGTCTCATTGAAAGCAATTTAGTTGTTGCATACAAGCATGCATCTTAGGGTACATTCACTTTCTCCTCAAGCTACTTTTTACAGTGTAGCAACATACTGTAGGGGGAAAAACTGTCCCGTTCGTTTAAATAATCTTGACTTTTACCCAGTATATTGCCAAAACTCGGAAAACAAAGCTACCCCATACTGCGTTCGATAGAACAGCCTATAGGAATTACAGCAACATAAAAACCTTATGGCTGGACTATATTTTAATCCCAGTATAACCAGCTAAAGTGAGACGTGGCAAAAATGTTAGGTGGGTATTTCTAGATGATATAAAATGGTTGATATCTTTACTTCCAATAGGCGTATTGAAGAAATCTAAAAAACTACCCGCGGTATGCTCAGGATATTTAATATCCCAGAAGCACTCTAAAAGTGTAAAAGAAGCTAGTTTCTTCATGTATTTTCTTTATTTCTTTGCTTTCTTATTTTTTTCAAAACTTTCATTTTGCCTGCTCGTTTAACACAAGATTTGCGCAACATTCTCCAATCTTTGCTCTAACGTGGTCTTTCGCTCTCAAAGATAAAGAATTTGTATCCAGAAGTGGGTAATTCTACCCTTACAAGGCTTAGAAAACTATATTGTCCTGACCCAGCTAGACCTCTTGGCGGAAGACCGAAAAAACTTGGTGCTAAAACTATGTCCCTAGTGTCAAGAGGACTTCGATCAGGTGCTTTAGATAATCCCCGAGCAGCACAAGAAAGTTTAAGATCGATGGGCCATGATATGTCAATTAATGGCATCCGCAAGTCATTGAGACGAAATGGACTTAAATCTCGTAGAAAAGTAAAGACCAATTTTGTTAGCAAGACAAACAAGCGGCTTCGATTGGCGTGGGCTAAAAAGCATAGGCATCTTACTATTGCTGATTGGCGTCGTTGGGTGTTTTCGGATGAAACAAGAATAGACCTTTGGGGCTCAGATGGTAATTCCTTTTACTGGACGAATGGTGGCCGAATCATGCAGTCGTATCAAGTCAAGTCTCAGTTGCAGGGAAATGACGGTGGGGTTATGTTCTGGAGTTATATAACAACGGAGGGGCCTGGTTATGGTACTACCATTATTGAAGACGCAATAAACTCGGGCTTGTATGTCGATATTTCGAAGACATCATTGAACGACACTCTTGCGCATTTTGGGAAGACACCATCTGATGTGCGATTTCAACAAGACAGAGCAACATCGCACACATCGGGCATTACTAAACAATGGTTCACCGACAATGGGTTTAACCTAGACAAAATCATGGATTGGCCACCCCAAAGTCCCGATCTTAATCCCATTGAACATGTCTGGCATCTCCTAAAGCTTCGTCTTAATAAGTATCCCACTAGGCCCTCAACAAAAGAAGAATTAGAGCGGCGTATTAACATTCAGTGGTACAAAATAACAGAAAAAGAGTGCCAGAAATATATTGATAGTATGCCTGCCCGAATCAAGGCTGTCATCAAGAGCAAAGGTGGTTCAACTCACTATTAATGATTTTATAATAAAATGTACCTTTTTCTATATTTATTTTTTAACCAATAAAATCATTGGATTTTAGTTTTTGAAAAAGTTATAATTATGTATAAATAGCACTACTTTCTCTCATTCAAACGATATCTATTTCGACTTTGTATACAAAGAAATGACCAAAAACTTGTGCAAAAAGACAAAATATTAAGCGAACGGGACAGTTTTTCCCCCTACAGTAGAATAACTCTTGTCTTCATCAATAAATCTTTAGTTTTTGTGTCTGATCTTATTCAAATAAGTCTTTTCTTGTTTTTATAATATCGAACATTTTTTATAAGCTACAAATAATAATCCTTTTATTCTTTGTGCTTAACAATGCCACACAAACTACTCTGATTGCATCAGTGAAGCTGAAATGTGTTCAGATGCTGAGCAAAGCGTATTTGCAGCAACAGCCTTCACTATAGCTCTATATGCTGGAACAGGCTGTCTCAAAGTATGGGGAACTCTCAACCAAGCCATTGCAGCTTGTCGAGTTGGTCACTTCTTGATCGGATGCCCACATCAAGGAAGCTGAAACGTATTCAGACGGCAATGTAAAACGTATTTACAAGGCCTCCTTCTAGACCATTTAGAACCAAATACCAAGATACAAACAGGCCATACATAATAGATGATGCAATAGAGAAAGAGAGGAGAAATGGTCATATCGCAACTGGTAGGCTCACCAAGCTTTCTTCAGTTTTAATGGTTTTATGAAGAGGTCTTCAGCAAGAGAGGAATGTAAAATAAATACGTAACAATAAATGTTGGTCATTCTTTCGTCCCTGAATTTCCATTTACAATCCACCAACATCACAGCCTTCAACTACTCACATTTTGCATTTTCTTTAACACTCAAATTTATGAAATGCCATTACACTACTTTGAAACTACATCAACTGGTGATTGGCGAATAAAAAACATCTTTGAAGCTTTTCAGAAAAAGTATCCAGATAAAGGACGATCCTACCACGGGCTTGCGACGAAAAAAGAGCTAAGAGAACTTGAAAACTCATCCAAAACAGTCTTTTCGAGAACGCGCACAGAGTTTGTTGGAAGATTTCAAGATACCCCCATCAGATCAAGAAAGCAGCACATCATCTGTCCAGTTAGCAAATACAATTATATATTGTGAACAAAGCCCAAACTATAAATCAAGCTACACACCAAACCATCCAGCAAAACGTATCAGAATATAAGAAGAAATGCCTCAGCGATCTTTCACAACTGGACGCCATTTATCTCGAGCCAAATTTCCAAAAGCTTATGTAAGTGTTTTTGTTTGTGTAAGTACTCTTACTTATCCCTTTTGGTAGAGCTCTTGAAAACATTTTGTTCTTGAAGCCTGGCTCCTACTGCACTGACATGTTGCGCCTTTTTGGAGAAGCAAACGTGAACAAGCTCTACAAACATTTGTTGAAAACTCATTACTCTTTCGACACAACTAAACACACAGACCTCCTTAATCTCATCGATGATATATTTGAAAAGGCGTTTTTCGATTACCATGAAGTAGAGGCAAATCTTGAACAATTATCACAGGGCATGAAAGATGTATGGCACAAGAGAATAATTCGATGCATTCGAGAACTCTTGGAGTTTTTACCTCAATATAAAGAGGTTGAAGCTTTCAACGAATGTGTCCTAAGGACTAGATTTCTAGACCCAGTGGTTAAATACTTCCTCAACGACATCAATGACACATTCCGACTTCGCTACCCAGAGTCGAATCTCAACGAGAGGAAGCTCGTAAAGAAGGAAGTATTGCGCCCAGATTGTCTCGTAACCAATACCACTCAGCCTCAGTATCATCGTGGAAATATTGCCTATGGTGAGGCAATATCGTCCTACTACACAAATCGCACTCGGGCTCTCATTCTGTATATGTACCAATTGGTGTATTTCAGCAAGTCAACGATAGATACTCACAAAATCAATGCGCCCATCATGCTACAAGTCGTAGGATTGAAAGTCAATGTGTATACGCTTGTGCTCATATCCCAGAAGTTCTATGTTACTTTATTCTTATTCGATTTCATCTTGCCTCAATGCAAATCAGAAATCAAAGATTTTTTACCCAGCATCAAAAAACTAGTCGCAATGAATGAAGCTTTAGTCAAATGTAGCAACGGAGACAACAAGGCCGATAGCGAAATGATACGCCCTAGCAACGATACCCCTTTATTCGAAAGACGAGTTGAAACCAAAATTGCCAAAGAAGAGTCCGACAGCATTCATCTCTGTTAGTTTAGTTCATTACCACAAAGACCTTTTCGAACAATTTGATGGCCAGGTTAGATCAAGCATTATTAGGCAAGTTAAATGCATTTTGTGGGCATTACACATAATAACTTTTTACTATTGTAGTTCCTGAACCTTCTAATCCATTAACCTGCTTATTCATTATATGTATAACCCCAATGATCCTTTGAATTGCTTAAAATATACACATGGTATACCTCAGTTATCGCACATCACATACAAAAACTAAAGAGACTGTCAAAAGAGAAGATGCTCCCAAATGTGCTAACACGGTGGTAAATAGAGTGAAAGAATTTCTTGATGCCATGCTTTCAAGTAACGTCAAATCTGATTGACAGAATTATGAGAAGTTCCCACCTGATAGTGCAAGCTTGAAACGTTGCATTTGAAAAGAGGATTACTGGAGCCTGGAACTCGTTTAGAATCTGATACTGTTCAAGTCGCTCAATTTGAAAAATAACCCTACAAATGCTGAAGAGTATTACTTGATGATCTCTATTGAAAGATTTTGGTTCGCATTGATGGCGTCTATTCCACTTTTAGCTGCCGTCAAGGAGATGAACATTGCTTCCAATTTCTGACACACCCCTAATACGCATTGTCTCTAATATATACGAGTGTTTATGCTTCGGATGGCTCTCTACCTTTACTTAGCTTGGGTGAGAGCCAACCTGCGTAGCGGCAGTTCGCGCTACCAACTGTCCTTGTTCATCTCATCAAAATACTGCTATTTTCATTTTGACCTTCCACTTACACATGGAAACACTTTATGTTATCTGTGGGTCTGATTCTTGTTTGATGCTCTACATCCATATACGCGTAGCTACTTCATATACGGGCAGGCAGCATACTGGTGTTTCTTCTTTTTAGTCCTTAGTGTCCCTAATACAGCAAAATATGAGTGCATTTGAGCTGCATTTTCTTGCGTTCAAGGCCGTTTTAAATCGTCAGAATAGCCCCAAATGGTTGCTCTCATCTGGCAGTTACTTTCTGACACTTTTGCTCGACTTTTTGGGGACCAAAAAAACATGGTAAAAAATCGACCAAAAGCATGAGGGGCACCTCATGGTTTTCATCGAAAATCAAACGATCGCGTTTTTGACCTTGATAATAAAGACTTTTACTATGGTATATCTTGAATCAAAACGTTTCTATCGATCCAAAGCAACCTCTGAAATCATCTTTGTGGGACTTTGATATATAAAATTTCGACATTTTGGCTAGAAACCTCTTTTCATATTTTTACAAATCATTCAATAAGCGTATTAAAAACATCTATATAACTTGGTACCATTAAAAGCGCCTTGAAAAGTACTCCAGGAAAGCTTAAGGAAGCATGGGGTGATTATCATACTTCACTTAGTCGAATCTGCAAAAATAGCTCGATCGAGTCCAGAATCATCAGAATTTGTCCAATCTGGAACAGACTATGATTCTGGGTTTGAATTAATTTTGGCTGGTGGAGCCAGCTGGAAAACTCTTGCCCTTTTCATAAGGCAATACAGTAGTAAATGCCCTTGAAGCGTATAGAAAGTAGGTGGCAGGTCATAGCACTGTTGTTTATGATGATATTTTTATTGCCTTCTATATCGTTCATAATGATATTTTATTGCATTCTATATTTAATAACGTTAGTCTGGACATTGACGATTCATGGGCTGCATAAAATGTCTGCAGTAAGTAGTGAAATCTCTGAGGCTCCGAGCCGTCGTTCAAATAAAACGTTGGTAGCATTGAGCAGAGGAAAGAGGGTAGAAATAACAGTGGTTTTTGTTGATTGATTGTAAAATCATTATTCTCATATGAGCCAGGTCTGATAGATGCCTTGAAACTCAGGTTCTATATTAGGGTTGCAAAGTGTCTAAGGACTGAACATTTATTATGTTCTGATATTAAATCAAAAAGTTTCTATCGATCTAATGTAACCCCTGAAACTACCTTTTTGGGATTTTGATATGTAAAATTTCAACATTTTCGCCAAAAACGTCATTTCATAATTTTGTAAATTGCTCAATAAGTTCAATCAAAATCTAAATCTATCTAATCTAAAATATATATACTGGAAAACTATGAAAAAAAAATAGACAAGCCAATCATATCCTTTTAAAATTTAATAGTATTAAAAGCCAGAACAAACGTGGGCATAACCACCGGCGAAGCCGGCAATGGGGAGGAGGTTTGGGGGAGGGGGCTTAGCCCCTCCACCAAGAACATCAAGCATCACAATTTGCATAAAGTGTATGAAATATCTTTTTGTTAAAATCAAATGCCTCCTGTTCAAGCTAGAAACTGTGTAACCTGTAGAGTTGCTCTACCTGAAGATTACAATTTTCGAAAATGTGATTCATGTCGAGTAAATAGAAAAGAAATGAAAAACAAACATTCGAACGAACCTTATATATATATATATATATTTGTTTCAGGAACGTGCCCGAAACTACGCCAGACAGAGAGCTGCATTAAGGCCACCTAGAGCACTTAGAGCACCTGCCGCTTTCATATCAGAACTTGGAAGAATGCAACCTCATTATCTGGGAAGAATGGACGTTGTATGTGATGGTTGTGGCGCATTGCATTGGGACGCAGCAAGAACTACCGGTCAATCCAAAAGCAACAATCTCTTCTACTCTTGCTGCAAAAAAGGAAAGGCCATATTGCCCTTATTGCAAGATCCGCCTGAGCCCTTGAATAGCCTAATCAACGGAAGCCATCCACGCTCATCCCATTTCTTGAAGCATATAAGGCAATACAATACTTTGTTTGCTTTTACTTCATTCGGTACCACTGCTACGCCAGCAGGGGCTCAGAGAGAAGGAGAGGAGGAGAGAAGAGGTGGAGTTACTCCAGTAAGTGCCCATGGTGAATTGTACCACATGCAAGCACCCTTGAATTTTGGTAATGCTCCAAAGTACAATTAATTGTACATGTACGATCCCGAGTATGCTGCTGCATGTCGATCTGCTAACCCCAAAAATCAGCATTTAGATGATTCAATCATTGAAGCATTAAGTGAAATGATTAATGACCCGGTTCATTGTGGTAATCCATTTGTACGTATCTACAAGCATGCCCACGAGATTCTGAGTGCAGAGGAAGAACGACAAGCCCAAGATCATGTCAGCGAGGATGCGTATATTCGACTCAATCCTCAAATGAGACTGGAATTGGTTGTCGGTGAAGATAGGCGTACTCAGAACTTGCCAACTGTCAACGAGATTGCAGCTATTATCCCCAATAAATATGCTGATTCAAGTTTCAGAGACATCCTGACTACCTATCGAAATAGCACCTCCACCAGTTCCAGAGGACTCTTTAGAAGGATCAACGAAACGCATGCTGCCTACATGCCTCTCCATTACGTTTTGCTTTTTCCCAGAGGTGAATATGGGTGGCATTGGGGCCTTCGTTTGCAATTGCCTGCTTCAACTGTTGATGCCATGGATGTTGACAATGAAGAAGCGCAAGAAGAGGGACAACGTCGAGCAACAGGCAGGCTTACCCAGCGTGCCTTCTATATATTTAGATTGCATGTCAGGAATGGTGAATCCAAAATCCTGTTCCTCTCGAGACGTCTATTCCAGCAATACCTGATCGATGCTTGGGCTGTTTGTGAACAAACCAAGTTAAACTGGATCAAGGCTAATCAAACGACTCTCCGTGCTGATGTCTACAAAGGTCTTGCTGATGCTATCAGTGCTTCTGATACAGATCTTGAAACGGTGGGTAGAACGTTTATTTTGCCAAGCAGTTTCACTGGTGGTCCCCGGTTTATGGCAGAGCTGTACCAAAACGCAATGGCTATTTCTAGATTCTTTGGTAAGCCAACGTTATTCATAACGTTTACTGCAAACCCAAACTGGAGGGAGATCCAAGATGAGTTGTTGCCTGGCCAAAGTGCTGCTGATCGCCCAGATTTGGTTGCTGAAGTATTCAACCGGAAGCACGACGCATTACTCAAAGACCTGAAGCAAAAGAAAATCTTTGGTGCTTATAAAGGGATTGTGAGAACAATCGAATACCAGAAGCGCGGCCTCCCGCATAGTCATATGCTGTTGTTCTTGGATAACCAAAATGACCGGTTTGATATGGCAGAGAGGATCGACCAGATTATTTCCACAGAAATTCCTGACGTTCATCAAGACCCTGAACTACATGCAATTGTCACCCGCAACATGATGCATGGTCCATGTGGTGGTTATAACAAGAAATATCCCTGTATGGTGAAGGATGCTTTCGGTAACGACGTCTGCTCAAAAAAGTTCCCAAAGCCTTATCAGCCAGCAACCATAGTCCCTGATGATGGGTATCCACTCTATCGTAGAAGAATGGATGGCCGCTCTCATGTAGTACGCATCAAAGATGATCAGAACGTGTACCACGACTTTCATATGACAAATGAATGGGTGGTAGCGTATAATCCATTCCTATCAAAGAGATACAACGCTCATATCAACGTGGAAGTATGCGCCAGTGTCCAGGCTATCAAATACGTCAACAAGTATATATACAAAGGTTCTGATCAGACTACTCTGAAAACCACGACTACCGCGACAACAACTGCAACAGCTGGTACTGCAGCAATGTATCAGAATGATGAATGTGCCAAATATCTGAATGGCCGTTATATCAGCCCGTGTGAAGCCGTCTGGAGGTTGAAAGAGTTCCCAATGCATGAGGAAAGCCCACCTGTCACTACACTTGCTATTCATCTTGAAAATGAGCAGCCTGTATATTTTGATCCTTCCTGGCCTCAATCAAGAATTGATAATGTCCTGAGAGAGAGTCATACCACGCTCATGGGTTACTTTCATTATAATGCCGTGAATCAAAACAAACCTGGTTTTCAACCATTGCTTTACCAGCAATTCCCAGAGCATATGACTTGGAAAGAAAAGAAGCCAAAAAGGTGGGAAGCAAGACGAACCGATACCATGTCTATCGGCCGCATTTACTACTGTAGCCCTGCTGCCGGCGAGAGGTATTAT